ATCTGATCTCACTTCTGTAGCAGACTGGGGCTGGCAGTGGCTTAATTCTAACAAAACTGCAATTAACTATTGCAATAGTAATGACATTCCTATGTTAATGAATGGCAACCCTCTGGTTCTCTTCTTTATTTCTTATTGGATTATTGTTTACTACTGACCTTTCATAGAAACTATATATACCATCCATTGCTAAATTAGTATCCTGTTGTTGTCATATTTGGGCTGGTTCTTCTAATGAAGCTTTTTCTTTTTTAAATAAGATCCAAAAGCGCAAACTTAGTTGGATCTGCTCTATCTGCTAAGCTTGAGCCTCTTTCTCAATTTTATAAAGTTGCATCTCTTTTTTTTTTCTACAAATACTATCATGGTCGCTACTTTATTTCCATTAATTAAAACTCATTCTCGCTTGACTCATTATTCTGCGTAGTCTCATTTGTTTACTGTATCTGTCCCTGCATGCTCTAAAAACTTTTATTTGTCTAGTTTAATCCCCACGCTTTTACCCTTTAGAACTGGATGCAACCTACATTTTTCAAGTCTTTTGTTAACCATTTCCTTGCTCAATAACTCTATTCTCCTTTTTTCTAGTAACTCCCAACTTAATAATGGTTGCTTTTAGCCTTGATGGGAATAAATCAGTCTTGTATTAAACGACTGTAATGGCTCTCACACCAAAGAAAGCTAGAAAACCTAGTAAAATTCTGGAAATTAATGTATCTATTGAAGCAGAAAAGACTGTACTCAGATCAAGAAAAAAACATATTGCAGTTATGTTATAAACAAAAATACTGCCATTAAAAAATGTTATGTTATTAGACCCAATACATATTGCAGTTATGTTATAAACAAAAATACTGCCATTAAAAAATACAGATGTTTTTCATGTTAACCATTGGATTGTTGTTTTTTTCTTTAAAAACATTAAAGTAGGAAAGCTACTATTGAATACAGCTGTATTGCAAAAATAGATTTTTGAGAGAAAAAATGATTCTAGAAAAGAAACAAGACCTATTGCAAATCATTAAATTAGTGATATCATTCAAAACGTTTGGTTAGCTGTTTGTATTCCAACAAAGGTTAGCAAGAAGGACTGTGTTGTACAGGTTGTCCATTTAGTAACCAAATATAAGATACTGAAAAAAGTTGGTTTTGAGCGCAATGTAAATCTCAATATTTTGTAAAAATGTTTTTTATAATGTTATCATAATGGTCCAAATTTTTTTTAAAATGTTATCTATCCTAGTTTTTACATAATTGTTGATTAAATTAAAAAAAGATTTTGCATAAAAAAAACTTATTTCTTTGCGAATTTGCACAAAATTCTTTTTTTGCATATTTGCGCAAAGATATTTTTTAAATTTAAATAACAATTATGAAAAAACTAGGGTACTCAACAATCTAACACAATCACAATCAATCACAATCAGTCCTTCTTGTTAGCCTTTGTTGGAATACAAGTAGCTAACCAAGCGTTTTCAATGATATCATTAATTTGATAATTTGCAATCGGTTTTGTTTCTTTTCTAGGATCATTTTCTCTCAAAAATCTATTTTTGCAATACAGAATTGCAATTCAATGGTAGCTTTCTTACTTTAAGGTTTTTAAAGAAAAAAATAACAATCCAATGGTTAACATGAAAAGCATCTGTATTTTTTTGCAGCAATATTTTTATTTATAGCATAACTGCAATATGTATTGGGTCTAATAAATGTTTTTTTCTTGATCTGAGTACTGTCTTCACTTACCACAAAAAAACTTTCAAGAAAGCTACTGGAAAATGTAAAAGCATGGAACTGGCCTCATGATTAAGATTTTTAGTTCAACAAGCATTTGAAGTAAAGAAATCGACACAGGAGAGAAAAACTTTTCCTCATGAGGACTATAAAAAAAAAAAAAAAACTACAATAAAGGAGTTATAAGGCTATAAAGGGGAGAAGGGGTTGATGGTTTTGTGACAACTCATACAAATTGTGCTACTTAAGTGTTATGATTTTGTGGCAAGGGGCGAGGAGAAAGTCAAAAATGGTCAAAAATTGCATGACGCAGTTTATGGATGACCCCTTATAAAATTAAAAACACATGATTT